TTAGGCTAGACTAAGTTCCAGGTATTTGTCTGTCAATTTCTGGTGAATTGCTCGTTCAATAAACTTACCCAGAGCTTTTATCAATGGGGCACATTTTAAAAAGGATATTAGTGAGGGGCCGGCCCCGTGGCTTAGTGGTTAAGTGCACGCGCTCTGCTATTGGTGGCCCGGGTTCGGATCCCGGGCGCACACCGACGCACTGCTCATGGGGCCATGCTGAGGCGGCGTTCCACATACAGCAACTAGAAGGATGTGCAACTATAACATACAACTATCTACTGGGGCTTTGGGGAAGAAAAGGAGGAGGATTGGCAATAGATGTTAGCTCAGGGCCAGTCTTCCTCAGCAAAAAGAGGAGGATTGGCATGGATGTTAGCTCAGGACTGATCTTCCTCACAAAAAAAAAAAAAAAAAAGGATATTAGTGAGCTGAAAGTATAAGCATGCTCCCCCTAAGGCAACAAAGGATCCCACAATTTGGGGACTTATGCTATATAGTCTGGTTACATGGCTTGTCCTTGGGCAATTTTGGAGTTACCCAGATCTAACAGCCCAAGTCTCCTTTATGAAACTGTAGAAATCATCACTGAAAACCAATGATGACATAAACTTAACGTAAAAATTAAAACATACCCATAGGTGGCCGGCCCAGTGGCGCAAGCAGTTAAGTGCGCGTGCTCTGCTGCAGCGGCCCAGGGTTCGCCGGTTCAGATCCCGGGCACGCAACGATTCACCGCGTGGAAAGCCATGCTGTGGCGGCATCCCATGTAAAGTGGAGGAAGATGGGCACGGATGTTAGCCCAGGGCCAGTCTTCCTCAGCCAAAAAAAAAGGAGGACTGGCAGATGTTAGTTAGCACAGGGCTGATCTTCCTCACACACACACACAAAAATACCCATAGGTCATAAGACTAAGGCGGACTGCAAAATTGCTATGTTTGTTAAACATTGAATAAAACACCTGGGACAACTAAGTTTTCATTACATTAGTTACTATATTCCAGCTCTTTAATGTAGTAATAACTGTAAGTTACTGAGCAACTATTACGCGCCAGGCACTTGGTATTATCTTTAATTCTAACAACAAGGCTGCAAGTTAAGAATCCCCCTTTATACAATTTTGAAAACTGAGGATAGAGAGTTTAAACAATTTACTCAGAATCACAAAGGTAGTATGTAGAGAATTCAATTTTTTAAAAAAATCTATTTTGGTAATTTTAATAAAAATGCTTTGCTTTTTAATTTACATCTAAAGAATCATTTATATCAGTTCCACGGCTAGCATTTAAATGACACTAAAATATATTCATCTTATATAGAGAATATATCTGCTTGAGAGATCAGAAAGGAAATAAAATAGTACTCTAAACTCACCCCCACATTTACTTATTATAATTTATTATTATATGTATAAATTTATTATATAAGTTTGCTAAACTTATCATGAGTAGGAAATTAATTTCAAAAGTAAAAGTATGTTGTATTTTATGCAACATGAAATGGGTGAAATCTCTGCATTTTTGTTAAATTAAGATTTTGGATCTGAAGTAGATATGCATTTTTAAAGACTGCTACTTCATGTGGATCTTATAAATGGCAGAATGTAAAAGTATACTGTGAATTTTCATGAGTTCTGGTACTTTCAAAGTTATGGACATGGTACAATTTTTATTGTGACTGACAGTATAATGCTGCTATAATAAAAATTTCCTGTCAACTTGTTCTCTCCTGAAATGCCTGAAGCACTTCAGTTTAAGCGTCAGATTAAAATATATGATGGAGAGAAGAACTGGATCTGCATTGTCCCATCTTTATAGCAAGGGAAACAAGATGGTGCCAAAACAGTGTAGGGGTGGAAGTGTGTTTTCATAATTATATAAGAATAGATTGTTTGAAATGCCTTAATTATGCCATTTATTTTTCCTGTGGATAATTCTTACCATGTGGGATGAGTATAGATTTTTGTGTAAATTTCCAGTTATCCAAGTGCTTTTCATTTGCATTGGGAACTAGGTTCCAGTCATGTGAGCTGATGTGAGGCTGACCCAGCCGTAACATCATTCCTCTAAATGATATCCACTTAAGAATTCATGTCTATGGGCTCCAGGTTTTATAAATCTCATGCTGTTTTTCCCCTCCAGGGTCTGTTTCTGCCTATCCAAAAGTGTCTTTACTCCACTGCCAAATTCTCCACTTGTGCCTTTCTTGTTTCCTCCTTCAGAACTTTGCTTCAAAAATAAAACTCATTTTATTGTCTCCTCCTCTCCTGTGGAAACTCTTTCCCCGTCCTCTTAGCTTATATAGTTTCATTGTTAAAAACAAAATTAAACAAAATCCTGCCACAACTCTTCTTCCTCCTCTTTCTTCCCTTCCTCTGTCAACTTTCTAAAATAAGAGTCTAGATCTATTCCTTCATTTCTTAACATCCTGCAACTGGGCTTCTATCTTTAATAGCATATGGCATTCTTGAAGACAATGGGCTTCCTGGCTGTCAAGTCCTCTGATCTTTTTCAGTACAACCCACAGGATATTCTCTCCTTAAAGCTCCTTCTTTGCGTTTGATGGCATTTGTATGTCTCTCGGTTTTTCAAGCACTATGGTTGTTTCTAACACTACTGTTTTTCACACTACTCTTTCCCTGGATCGTCACTTCCTTCTACCTCTCGACCTGTAGATACTCAACACTTTTCGTGCTAAATGGTTCTCAACACTGGCTACGCATCAGAAATACCTCGGCACTTTAAAAAAATATAGTCATTTGGGTTCTACCATAGCCCCCTTGCATCAGATTCTCCAAGAGCAGAGCCCTGGAAGATGTATTTTTAGGAACCCCTCTGGTGACTTTGGCACATGGCTATGGTTGTAGGTGTTCCTCCAGGACCTGCTAACTTCCCTCATACCTCTCTCCCTTAGTGAAATCATGGTGTTGTGGCCTTACATATTATCATTTTACTAAAGGTAACTGTTCACTAGTTCTGGATTATTATAAGAAAAAAAATCATTCTGTGGCCAAGTCGGGAAAAGATTAAACAACAGAGAGATTATTTTACTGAAGGGCTTCTCAAGGCCACATGTACACTTCATACCCCCATGACATTCAACCCTCTCTTTACTCCATTAGAAAGGGTCGTCTGTATCCAAATTGATCTTCTACCTCCTATAATCCACTTTAATCCCACTGCCAGATTATCAGTGTAAGGCACAGCTCTACTCTTGATATTCCCCTTCTCAAAAATCTTCAATTACCTTTGAATTAGAGCCAAGTTTAAATTCTCTAGTTTGGCATTCAGGGCCTTGTAAGATCTGGCATGAACCTTTTCAACTTGTTTTTTATTTTTCATTATACGATGAAAGTGTATAGACTTTGAAGTGAGACATATTTGGGTTTGAGTTATGTTTTACCTTGGGCAAGTAATTTAAATCCTGAAAGTCTCATTTGCTTTTATTTATTTATTTTTTGTGAGGAAGATCAGCCCTGAGCTAACATCTGATGCCAATCCTCCTCTTTTTGCTGAGAAAGATCAGCCCTGGGCTAACATCCGTGCCCATCTTCCTCTACTTTATATGGGATGCTGCCACAGCATGGCTTGACAAGCAGTGCGTCGGTGCATGCCTGGGATCCGAACCTGTGAACCTCAGGCTGCTGCAGCGGAGCGTGCGCACTTAACCACTATGCCACTGGCCCGGCCCGTCATTTGCTTTTAAATGAAAGAAAGATAATACTGCTTCCACCTGAAAAGGTTATTTTGAGGATTACAAGTTGGTCCTTCTCATACTCGATTGCTATCACCCATTAAAAACAGTGGTTTTCCAGTTTCAGTATGCATCATGATTAGCAGGGGTAATTGTTACGGAAGGAGAGGCCTGGGCTACACCTTGATCTGGACTTGGTAAGTCTGTGTGTGGACTTGGTAGGTCTCTAGAACCCGCTGTCCAATACGGTAGCCACTAGCTACATGTGGCTATTGAGCACTTGAAAGGATGGTTAGTCCCAATTGAGATGTGCTGTAAGTGTAAGATGCCTGATTTTAAGACTTAATATGAAAGGAATAATGCAATTTTTTTATTGATTACATGTTGAAATGACATTTTGGCTATATTAGCCAAAATAAAATATATTACTCACATCAATTTTACCTGTTTAACTTTTTAATGTAGATACCAGAAAATTTAAAATGACGTGCCACACATTATATTTCCATTTAAAAGCACTGCTCTAGAATATGCATTTTTAACAAGTTTCCCAGATGATTCTGTGGTAGGTATCCTCAGATCACCTTTTGAGAAAGAATATATCAAATTCTAAGCTTTCTGAAAGAACTGATGCCTTTACACATCTTCATATCCCCACAGTGTTCTGAACACTGTGGGCAGTTATCTCCATACTAACTGAATTTAGATGCACTTGAAATTTTGAGCCATCAAAATTCATAAAAAAAATTTCATTAGACGTTTTGCTTTTGTTTTTTTGTCTTCAGTTCCTAAATAATCATTTGGAATTACATTTCTTAAATGGAAAAAAAAATTTGAAACTACAACTTTGATTGGTTCCCAAACCAATAAAAATAGTTTATTTTTTAAAAGAATTGGGTTTTTTCCCTATGGTTATTTGACTTCATGTAGAAATAAACGATTCATCTGACTAGATTCTAAAGTTGTTGAATATTATCATATTCAAGTTCTTGATTTAAAACTAGCGCTTAACACTAGGCCAGGAACATACGCTAATTTTTATACCATAGTAATTTAGCCACATGAGGAAAAAAAGAGACAAATCTGGGGGAAGGGGGTCTCTGTTTAGGGATGAATGAGGTGAGAATGGATGACCACTCTGGAAGTGGAGAGACGGAAAACTAAGAGACACAATTAGAAACACGTAAGCTAATGTTGGGATGCAGAATAATCTTGACTTTAATGACTGTTAGAAGAGAGAAATAGTCACAAAAGTGGAAATACTTTTAAAAGACTGTTTGGTAAGAACAAGTGAAGATTTTCCCACTTACCTCATTGCCACATTGCTGCCATCGATAACCACTGGTCTCAGGTTTTCCCCGTCATCTGTTACCATCTCTTGCATTGGAGATTCAGACCGCTGAGATTCCAGGGAAGATGTTTCCCGCATTATACTGTTAATTGTACTAACTGTTTGTTCAGCCTCACTTTTATTTCCAAGTTTGACAAGTTCTCCCAAAATGTCATTGATTAAAGCATCGGTACCAAGTTTGTTGAGCACAAGCTGAACCTGTTCTTCAGAATAGCCTAACTTAAGTGCAAACTCCAGCTTCGTTTGGTATTCTCGCACCACATCAGGGAGTTTCTTCACTTCCTTGGATGTAGTCTGGGACTCTTCGGGTTTAAAGTCTTGCAAAATTTCACTGTGTTTGAGTATGTGAGGCTCTAAACAGGGAGACCTAGAGAGCAGTCTGTGAGTGAATAAGCATGGCTCTACTGAAACGCTACTCAATTGTTCTGACTCATTATCAGAATTTGCGCTTTCTTCAGAGTCCCCAGAGCTCACATTCTCTTCAGACACGTCTTTATCTTCCTTCCCGGAATTAACTTTATCCATTGTTGGTTTTTCTACCATTGACCAAGATACAGATGTGCTTAAATGTGGGTCACTGCTCTCCACATAAAGGTGGCCTAGGTCATGCCCCAGATGATCCTTCAAGCCCATGAAGCTGTTACATGTACTTGACTCCACTTTGCTGTTTTTTCTGTATTCCTGAATGCAAAGCACTCCGTATTCCTACAGAAAAACATAAAATATTTAGAATTTCATATTTACTGTGTCATTTCTGTTTCAACAAAGAAGTTGCAAGAGAATTACCGAACTATTGAACACCTACTTTGTGTTTTCTCTACATCTGCTCATCCCCCCTAACACCCTTGCCAAGACAGTATCAGGCCCCGTTCTTCAGGTGAAGAAGTTAGGAACTAGAAAGGCCACGTAATCCAAGGCAACAAAGTAAGTAAGAAGTGGGACTGGATTTTTATACCCAGTTTTTTCTGACTCCAGAACTCATACTTTTCCCCCTATATCATGCTGCTTCTCAATCTTGATGGAAGAGATTTTCCCACTGTTACGTTTCTAGAGTGACACATAGAATATTATCAAAAAAGCTTGTTTTAGATATGCTATGACAGGTTATACATTTTCTCTAAAAGAATTCATAAAAATTTGTAAAAATTCTCTTAAAGAAAACGTTGTATGGAATAAAAAGGAAAACTAACTTATAATTGAAAAATTATTCATTTGGATCAAGCTTAACAGTAATTTAAAGATGTTCCCAGGGCTGGCCCTGTGGCTTAGTGGTTAAGTGCGCGCGCTCCGCTGCTGGCGGCCCGGGTTCGGATCCTGAGCACGCACAGACGCACCGCTTCTCCGGCCATGCGGAGGCTGCGTCCCACATACAGCAACTAGAAGGATGTGCAGCTATGACATACAACTATCTACTGGGGCTTTGGGGGAAAAAAAAAAATAAATAAAAACTATAAAAAAAAAAATAAAGATGTTCCCAAAGTAATTTAGGTATTGGGATGAAAGAGCACATATTCTACAATAGCCAACAAGGAATAAAATAATTACAAAGTGAATTATATTCCATCAGGGATGAATAGTTTTGCCCTAATAATCTTTATTTTGTGAATACTGAATGCAGTAACAGAATACAAATTTTAACACTGTGCTACCCTTATTAAGTGCCAGGGACACTGCAGTCTATTTCATTCCAGGGGAGAAAAAAGCTGTTTTATTCTACGCACATTTCTAGAAAGCAGAGAAATGAAATATTTCACACAAAATTAGCAGCAAATAAGTACGCTGAATAAATAATGTTATCTTAATTTCTTCAATTTTATGGTAGAAAATATTTCTGTATTATATCAGATTATTATGTGCATTTGGTTAGAAAGTCATCTTTTCTCCTACTTTCCCCAATAGGAATGCTTTTACTGTTTAAAATGCTTTTGCTGTTTTACTATTTTCCTTAAAGTCTATTGGGAATAATTGTTCTTTCTCTACCACGAACAAGTTAGAAAAATAAAATTATCTCTCCTGTGCTTCATTGTATGAACTATATTCACATCAGTAGTTTACTTATTAAGGCAATTCCAGTATTCTATCCATGGATAACATCAGTAAGCCAGTGGTAGCTCAATTTGAGACTGTCATAAAACACCTATTTAAAAAACCAAAAAAAGAAAATTGGAAAACATTTTATTCTAACGCTCTTCAACATCTTATTTACACTAGAAAGGAGCTATTATGTAAATGTTAAGAGAAAATGCTAAGTGATTTTCTGGAAGTCACACATTTGAATGCATACTTGGTGAACTTATTAGAGTGAAGTATTTCTACATAATGAAATAAATTATATTAACTATGGTAATACTAGAGAAGAGACATGGAATCTTTAGCTTGACAATGATACACTTAAAATTCCTTCAGTGTAGAACTCCTACACACTTCTACAGGAGTTTCTTCAGGTTTTATTCCTGGAGAAGACAGATCACTTTAATATCATTGTTCTACTAATAGACGATTCATTAGTTTTAAAGAAACATCAAACTCTCCTGGCTCCTGATTGCACAACTGATAAAAAGAAATATTCTTTAGGAGAGCTCTATATACATCTGTTCCACTATGAAGCTGCATTCATTTCAATTTTTTTCTATTAATATGGATATGCATGAGCCCAATTATTTAGAGTTAAAGGAAGGGATTTTTGAAAGCAAATCTTTACACCCCATGATTTATTAACTACTGTAATATACTGACACCATAATGCAAATAACAGATCACAACAGCATCCTAATAAAGGGATACAGTTAAAAGAAAAATCTGCACTGTGGCCTTCGTAGAGCTCTCACCAAAAGTATCTTAAACAAGGAAAACCTATTGGAAGCTGGGCTGCCTGGCAACCAGAAGCTGGTTGCTAAGCTGCACTCTTTTAACATGCCATCATGAATGCTAGCACAGTGAAAGAATAATTTGGTATGAACAAAAGCCTATAAAAGAGACTGGGACTTAAGTGCGTCTGGTTTACCCTCCGAGAACAATGCGCCTGCCAAACCAATCTGGAAGCTCCGACATTATTGTTCTGTAAACCCCACAATCTGCTCTGACTGCAGGAAGTGTATTTAATGGGCAACATTTTTGATCTCCCCTGAAAAGTTTGGGTTTTGCATAAGTGCTGTTGTGAGATAATTCTTCAAGATAATGACTCACTGACCAAATCCCTGAATTGAACTAGGAAATATTATTTTAATATTGAGCTGTAGTGTTTTTCTTTTGGACTGTTTCAAACAAGATGAATACCTTATGAAAATACAGCCAGTGGGGAACATTAGAATGAAATGTTATGTTTCAAGAATAAGTGAAATTATTCTTAATTTTCACGTTTTTCAAAGAAACAAAACCAGAGACTGTAAAGTTTTTAAACTGAAAATTACCCACCCTGAAAAAGTATTTAAATCTTTCTATAAGACTTTCAGTCTAATATAAAAACTGTTGATGACACTATGTAAATCTGCTCTGCTATATAATTTTTTAAATGGCTGTAAGAAAATAGGGAGAAAAATGAGATCATCAGTTGTTTGCTTTTTATAATATTAAACCAGATAAAACTTATTTGTATACGAATGTATTCAGTGAATATCACACACCTTTAACTTGTGATAATTCATATAATTTATATATACTATTTAAATAAAAAGTTTACAATAATTGGGCTACTATGATTTTTAATACTAAAAATAAATGTAAGCTTGATCTACCCTACTTTTTAAAAAATTAACATCTAATTTTATTAGGCAAAATAATTTTTCTTGTAAAATATTCTCGTTGAACTTTTTTTCACACTCACAGGACTCTCTTCATCTTCCAGATTTCATTGGTTACCTCAGGGCAAGTTATCCAATGTCATCTCGTAATAAACAAGCAGTTAAATAATTTTTCGTTCCTATAAATCAACAGACTAAATATGAAATAGTACAAATAAGAGTGAATAGGTTCAAGTACCAGGCATATATGCCACATATATTTTCTCAATCACATAGTACAAATTTGAAATAACCTTATTTGTATTGACCCAAAAGGTAAAGATTTGGTTTTTAAAACTTTAATCTCTGAAATGTTTCCTTACCCATTTGTAATTAGTAAAAGATTGCCCTGACTTAATATGGCACTTAAGGGAAAAAAAAGAATTTCGCAATATCTTGAAATCATTCAATAAAAAACTAAATGCTAGTCTTAAGATTTAAAAACTGATAAAATATTTCATAGTCTGTAGTACTTGTTAATGTAGTTAAGTGTGTAAAACTTAACAAGGAATTATTATAACAAATCTTAGGACAAACAATGGTATATGATCTTTATTTTTGTTTAGTGCCTTTAAAATGATCAATATAATTTTGAAAAAGAAAAGATAGCAGACTCCAACAACATCACAAAATGTATTACACATAAGGTAGAAAATAATTTCTCCTTAATTTCTAAACTATTTACTAGAGTTTTAAGTTTGGCACTTACTCAGATGCAAACGTATATAAATATTCTTTAAATTAATCAACTATTAAACTTTTTTCCTCATTTCCTAAAGAAGCAGCATAGACAAAGTTTCACACACAAAGTAGGTCAGTGTTTATACTCCCATAGTTATCAAAAAACTCCAAGAAATATGGCTTAACTTTTAAGCTTTATATCAGGGATCCATTGTAATTGGCCTTTACATACAATATTCATGAACACAAGAAGTATTGGGCAAAAATATAATGAGCTGAAACATTTCTACACTTATGAAGCTGTAGATTCCCTCCAGATATTGCATTGGAAACTAAAACAATTGTTCTTGCTAAAAAGTGTAATAAGTTAAAAACCCAATAATACTATTTGTTGAAAAAGAGCTAAATTTTCACGCTAATTTTGTAGATGATGATGAAGTGTAACTAATTATATTAATTGGCAACAAGAACTTTACATTAGCTGAAAGCAGGTTTATGATATAATGGCTATTTAGTAGAAATTTGTTGCATACACACAAATTCCCCTTTTTAGTGAGCAGATTTTCTAAAATTTCTCATTAGATGACGTGGATAATCCTTCATCACAAACCAAGTAAAAAATTTTTTTTATATTCTAAAGAGCCGCATATTAATCAGGAATATTAGACCATAAATTTGTCAAATCAACTTATTTGTTTGTAATATAAAGTTACAATGCCATAAAGTGGGTTCTGGTTGTTATCTAAATGGCATACTACGAGAACAATGAAAATAAAATAATGAATATGTAATAAATCCCTACTGCCATAGTCTCTGTGTATTTAATTACCATTGTATTTCAGTGAGTGCTGTGGTCTGCATCCCTCTAGCTAACAAAGGAAGGATGTCCCTTTGAGCAGACTGGTTAATGCTCTGGGGCAACAGATGTCTCCTGGAACTGCAGGAGACCAGCAACTGGTGGCCTGCCCATCTTCTGAAAACTTGCAATAGATTATGCATATGTTCACACAATAGGGCATGTGGTAGAAATGAAAACCTCTCTTTAACCCTTTACACTCTTTCTTTCCCTCCCAAATGATACGTGAAAGTCTTTGTCTCCTCTTCCCTTCCCCATTACAGAACTCTTGAAAGCAATAGTTCTTAGAATGACACCTTCAATCAAATATCTGAAACTAAGGCAAGGGGAAAAAAAAAGGAGAGAAGAAATTACAACATACACATGAATATTGAAACTGCTGACAAAGCAA